GCAGGAATGGAAGACAAGTTGCAGGCTCCCCGGAGCTGCTGCGTATGCAGCAAGTGCAGCCTCAGGAACGTCTGTTCCTCTCTTCCTTTGAATAAATATTTATATATTCATTTGCCGGCTGGTGCACGCACTTGGCTGCTCACCTCCAGACCAGAATAATGGGACCTGCCCTTATGGCAGGGGGAGGGAGGGCAGCAGGGGTTCAGGCTGCTGCGTGTCTGCCTCCCAGTTATCTCCAGCTGCGAGCTGTGCTGACCTCACCAGTTAAGCACTGCTGGATATGGTGGGAACGTGGATGGGGAATCACCAGGCAGGGCTGGGCAGAGCAGTGCTGGAGCTAGAAGGCTGACCCAGTGCCCGGCAGTGCAGGTGTCACCATCCTGGCCACCTGCAGCCACCTCTCTCTGCTGGCCCCACGCCCCAGCACTCAGGCAGGAGCTGTAGGTGTCCTGGCCGAGCTCCAGTTGGAGCTCATAGAAACCTCCTGAGATTCCCTCTGTGATACCAGTTGCGTAGAAGATTGGCCTTCACTTTCTGCCCTAAATAGAGTGGCAATGTGATGGGAAGGGAAGGTGCCAGCACACAGAGACTTCTGCAGCTTCAGGGGCGTCTGCCTGTGCTCATCTGCATGTGTGAGGGCTGGGTGTGGGGGTGTGTGTGAAAGGGAAACACGTGGGGAAATGTACAGGAATGTATTTTGGGGAGATGGGACTTTTTAACCCGTACATGTGTGACTACGTTTACGGAGTGTGTCAGTGCATACACACAGCTCTTGAGCAGCTTTCATTTCTAGATGGGGAAGGATGTGTTTGGGGGCAATGTGTGCTTTCCCTTCATGAAGCATAATTGCACGTAGGTGTTAGTGCCGGGGCGGTCGTGCGTTGGGAAAGTGGAGGAGTACATCTTGCCTCCCTTTGTGTTGGGGGCTGATATATTTATCAGGGGGGTTGTGTGTATTTTTCTTGCAGTCCTTGACAGGGAATCGTGTCTGAAGCTGTCAGGAGTTTACGCTAAGCAGCCACTCTCTGGCTCTTGGACAGCAGGTCTAAAGTTTCAGTCTGTTTGTATTGGGCTGTCATGTTATGGGATTAGGGGCTGTCACGATGGCTTCTGGATGCATTGTAGGGGGTCTGATTAATCTCACTGTGCTTCTGTGGAGCAGCACCTCTGTGCTGGTGACAGGGAGGTGTGGGCTGAGCTGCCACAAGGGACTCCTGTGCAGTGGAGGAACCCATTCTCACCATTTGAGGTCTGGAAATGGTTTCTGTTTGCTTTCCATGTGATGAGCCCCTCTTTCAGAGTGGGTAAAGTCCCAGAGCACATTTTGGAAGGACCTCCAGCAACATGCCCACAGTAACTCCAGTGCTATGTGTGTCCAGCAGGCATTTTACCCTGGGACACAGAGAAGGGTCTGCTTGGCAAAGAGCCAGGCTACGTACATGTTTCTTCACTTGGGATCTTTAACCCTTCTTAGTCTAGGTGTCTCTCAGAGGGTATCATAAATAAAGAAGAAAATGAGACAATGCAGCTGTTTTAGAATGGTGGGGTTTTTTTTGCTTTTATTTGCACTTGAATCTTGTTAATTGTTGGTGTGATAATCATGCCAGTGACTCTGATAGGGACCATTTAGTTCAAGATTCTCCATGACCTTGAAGTTAAGACCTTACCTTCCTCCTTTCTCCCCCCACTTTCTCTCACCCCTCCTTTACTAGCTGTCATATATGAATAAACTACATTAAAATAACAAACCCACACTAATTAGCTGATTGTGCTGGGAAGTGTGAGAGCAGAATTTCCTGTGTTAGCGAGTGAGCAGGGAGCAGGCAAGGGGGCCTGATAACTGATACCAACCCAAGGTGATGATTTTCTCCCATTTGACTGCCACACACCAGACTCATACCCTAGACCATGCACTTGCCAAGGCTCCTGTCCTCCACACTGATTCTTTCTGGTCCGTACTGGTTCTCTGAGACTATGTGTAAACCCTATTAAATGAATTCCTCACCATGCCCAGGGTTCTGCTTCGGAAGCTGTTCTCCCTGCTATGGGTGTTTGGGTACAGTCGCTGTCTGGTGTGGTTTTGGCAGCCAGCAATCTGGGATGGAACTGGGAACCTAAGACTAGCTGGTGCTGCAGTCTGAAGGAGAAAGCACGTCAGGCTTTTAACAGACTTCACATCCTGACTTAGCCAGGAGCAAAGGCTGAGCTGTACCACATTCACCTGCCTGGGGTGTTTGGGGAATTTTGAGCCCAGTTCAGTCCCAGCATAAATACATGCCTCTTTCTCAAGGCCACTGGCATCCTTTGGTACCAGCAGGTTCAGAGGTTGCCTCTCCCCAGGCTCTCCTGGCTGGGCTTCCACTCTGAGCTTAGGGGACAGATGGGGCAGCCCCACCTTTCAGAGGATGGCACTTGCCGTGCCCGGAGGCCCATCGGGTTGGGACCAGCCATTTGCTGTTTGGCTTCAAGTTGTCTGATCCCACTAATGCCCTTCCTTGTTTTTTTCCCCCTCTCTCTCCCCAGCTGAAAGAACTATATGCACTGACACAGCCTCAGGAAAACCCACGATGGCTGCCAAGCGCAAAGGCGGCCTGAAGCTCAACGCCATCTGTGCCAAGCTGAGCCGCCAGGTCATCTTCGACCACGGGGGAGCCCAGCAGGCCCGAGCAGACAAGGGGCCGCAGCGGGAGAGCAGCAACAAGGACCTGCCTCAGCCTGGGACCAAGGAGCTGGGGACAGAGTTTTCAGATGGACTCAGCCGTGTGCAGAAGATTGAGGAGGACAAAAGGAGGGAGGTGATTGAGAAGTGGGTGAACGGGGAATACAACGAGGAGCCCTTGCTGGGGCGAGTGGAAGGCAAGGAATTTAAGGGTGTGGAGAGCGCGGAGGTGCCCCCCGAAGGGGTTTACATGGTGCAGCCCAAGGGCTGCAGTGACGAGGAGGATAATGGGGATGAGGCAGAGGCTCTGAGAGGCTCACAGGATGGCAACTTTGTGGATGACAGGGATTCAGATGGTCCAGCCTCCAAGGACGATGCCTACCGGTCCTCCAGTGGTGACACAGGCTCCAAGGCCTCAGGTAAGCCCTCTGCCCCCCCCATGTTCCTGGTCACATTTCCTGTGGAACAGACAAGAGCTGTTGCTGTGTGTCCATGCTGGATGCTGTCTGCATCTGGCAGCCAAGGAAGAGGGTGAAAGCCCAGATTTCCTTGCAAGCCTGGAATTTTGCTCATGGGACCATGCTGAGTTGGCCTCTGGTTCAGCCTTCCCTTCCCAAAAGGGGTGTTCATTAGGGTGCATAAAGAGTAGATCTACCCCCCCCGTAAACTCCTTCACACCATTTAGCTGGTGAAGCTGCTGGTTCCAAACCTGTGTGTCCCCCACTGCTTCAGTCTGGTGTGCCAACTTGAGTGCATTTGCAAACTCTTTTCCCCAGGCTGTGTGTGCATTTCTTATTTTCACACAGCTTCTACCTTATTTTTGTTGCTCATTCAGAAGTTGAATTCAACAAGAGGTTTTTGGGAAATCCCCAGCTGAATTTCTTTCTCAAATCTGATACCCAGGCTTCCCCCGGCTTGATTTTGGGGGTGTACAAGTGCTGAACCTTGGTATACAGCTTAGGGTAAATTGAATTCTCTCCATTAGGGCAGAGCAGCTCCCTCCCTCAATTTGTCACTCAGCTGGATTGGATCTGTAATTGAAAGATCTCCCCCTAATCTGCTCCACCTGCACACACCCCTCCCCTGATCTCAGCACTTTGTGAATCCATCAAACTTTCCTCCTTTTGTGTGTGTGTGTGTGTTTTCCTCCTCCTGTTAATAATGCAGCCGAAACTCATCTCCGTCTGTCCGTTCCCCTTCTGGAGAGGCACATTCTCTAGTCTTCACGAGTTCAGTGGCAGCGCACATAATTATGCATATAAGATATAAACAGAGCTGTTTAATTATCCTTCGCCACATCAGTGACAGAGTAATTAACAAACATTGCAAGATCAATGAGGAAAAGTGTGACCTTCAGTTTTCTTTGATAGGAAAGCCCTTGTCGTTCCCAGACACAAGGTGATTGTGCCTGGACTCTGTTTTTAGTTTGTTTTAATTCCCCCCGCCCCCATTTGCAGCCTTTATTTGCTATGAAAACTAAAAGGAGGGGAACTTAAATGTAAAAAAAATATTACTAAACTGGGGAAAATGAAAAGGAATTGAGGGTAGGAGGTCTCAGTAAAATGCCTTTGTAGGGCTGCATTGTCAAGGGATTATGCAAAAAAAAAAAAGTGCATTCGCGGGGGGCTGAAGACTCATTTATGTTTGAGGCAGGTAATGGCAGACACAGGGTCCAGTTTACAGATACAGCCACATGGGATTTGACTTGCAAACAGACGTGCTGCCAGGGCTTGAGTGTCTGTTTCAAGAACCCTGTTGTAAATGTCATTTGCAACCTTTCCTTGGAAAGCACAAACTGAAACATCTCTTGCTTTGGAAAGGACAAACTTATTTCCCTCTTCTGTCTTTTCCTGTCAGTGTTCCAGAAAATAGATTTTAAGCTGTTCATCACTGAGTCCTCTCAAACCTGGTTTTACTGGGTGCAAGTTAAGTTTATTCCAGTGAGATATGGAATTGCCTATACCAAAAAGGAGAGGTTTTTTCTCCTGCAAGGGTAGCAGGAGACAGTCAGAACAAGGGAGAGGAAAACAGCTCTGCCCTCCTGGTCAGTGCATCTTCTGGGGGAAGCATCATGGGAACTTGGTTTTGAAGGTTCTGAGCACTCATTGCTCTCTCTGAGGACACAGAGGGTAGAGGGCTGGCAGTGCTCAGCAGTATTTAAAATTGAGCCCATACTTCTTGATCAGCTAGAAACTTGGGGAAAAAGCAGCAGCCACACAGAAAACCAGCTCCTACATCTAGCTAGATCGGTGGGGAAAGTGATCCTAGTTATATGGGACTGAGAAGGGTTCCTGCTTCTGGAGTCCTGGTGTGTATACACACAGCCTGCTTCATGGGACTTCAGCTTCTGCTCATGTCCTCCACTAGCACCTCCTGTAGTCTAACGCCAACTCCCTGCCACCTCTGTCTCCTTCCCTGGTCAGATAGCGAGGCTTGTTGTGCATCAGGCAGGACTTTGCAGAGACTTGGTCTGTGCTACTCAATCCTCATGCTTTGAAACAAGATAGGGAAGATGCATATATGGCATCCCTGTTTCTTTTTCTGAGGCACCCCTTGGAAACAAGGGACTAAGGAGTCCATGGTCAGCCCTGCCTTACGTGCTTCCCTCTGTGGCACGGCTAGAAGACATGTTCAGGAGTCCCAGAGCTGGTGTGTGTCAGGGGGTGGGTGGCAGAAGCTGATCTGGACATGCAGACTGGTTTCTTCATTCATTCACACCCCCTCTCTTGCACAAGGACTGACCCACACCTCTGCACACAGTTATAAATAGCATTTAGATTTCCCAGGCCAGCCTCTGACAGAGATCCCTTTCCACAGTCTCTCACTGACGCACACATACCCAGGGAGATTTTCCTGTACAGCCCCGTGTTCTTTACTCTGCCTTTTATTACCTAGTGGGCTAAAGTAGTCACCAGGAGCTTCCCCATGTACAAGCTTTCAGAGTTCTCCTTTCTTTTCTTAATTTGTTGTCTAAGTCTCTTAGAAAGGGAATATTGGACCTGTTTTCAACAAGGGGGGTTCCTGTTCATCTTTTTCTGGGGAGACTTGGGAGACCCTGCATGATGAGTGCCAGTTTATTGCTCATTATCCCATAGCCCCCAGGTCTACTTGTTTTCCCTTCCAAGCAGAATAGAGGACAGAGCCCTGGCTCGGATGTCCCATCCCCCAGTATCCAGACCTTGCACTCCATTTGGGCTGTTTTGCTTTTCCTTCCATATATAGTGTGCTGCTGCAGGCTATTTTTAGCCCCTTTTTTGCTAGCTTCGGATCCTTTGTGATACGATAGCTGCTCTGAGACACACAGATCTCTGCTCTTTGGCAATGCCCACAAATGGAGAGCAGCAGCCAGGGGAGAGGGAGCCCTGTGATTATCACAGAAAAAGAAAGAAAATGTGTTGCAAGGGAGGGGGAGGAAGACCCAGGGACAATGCTTCCTGTGCCTCCAGGGCTGTGCACTTTTCACAGGGATTTGTTTCTCAGCCACTGTCCTGCTTCACTTTTGTCTGCGTGTGGGTACAGGGAGGGTTTTCTGTCGATTAGGTAACAATAATTATCTCTTTGCTGCTCTTTGAAAGTGTATATGAAATGATTTGGCTGGATATCATACCATCTCTGTGGTGAGACAGCTCCCTTCCATAAGGTGCCTCCACTTGAGGAGCCTCTAGCCTTCTGGTTAGGTGCCTGTGAGAGTAAGAGATGGTTGTCTTGGCTTTAGGGGATGTGCTGGTGGGCTCATCCTGGGATGAGTGAAGGTGTTCTTGGTAGTGGGAGGAGGAGTGGGAGCAGGCCAGGGTTTCATCTCAAATGTGGATGAGGGAAGACTGAAAAATACAGGCAAAACCATTGATCAGGGAGAGTATTGCAATCATCTGGAATCAAATTTGAGCAAAGGAAAAGCAGGATGCAAGGTGTTTTGGGGGGACAAGGGGATTAAATCCAGGGTAATGAAACCTGAACTCAAGCTCAGGCTCTGGAAAGCTCAAAAAAAAAAAGATCTGAAAACTGCCCCCCCTCCTTTGGTCTTGGGTTTTGCATCTTATTGTTTGCATCAGTTGAGGTCTAGCCACATGGGTACCAAAGATGCATTCAAAGACCAGATGTGCAGATGAGAGAAGTTTAAAAAGGAGCTGGTCTCCTACAAAATTTCATTTTCTCCATTATTATAAGGAAATAACTAGTTTTTCTTGAATCCCCTCCCTGGATTTGTAATGTCTTTGGGTTCTGATCCGAGCTGGGATTTGCAAAACTGATTTGAGATGTGGGATTGAAGAAGGTCTCCCCTCTTTTTTGTGTTCTGCAGGTTAGAATAAAGAAGGAAAGGGGCTGGCTGGCTTTCAGGGCAGCTGTTGAAGCTAGTAAAAATCACACTTAATAGCTTAATTTCCTATCAGATCATTTCTGTGGTATTCTTTCTCCCCTTGCAGTTTGGCACAGGCTGGCTAGAGTTTTTCTGTGCAGTGCCTGGAAGTCAGGGCATTGTGAAGGAGGCTGGGGGATTGTTTTACAGGTTCAAAAGGAGAGGAAAAGCAGAACAGGGAAAGCAGATTTAACAGAAAGGGGGAAGTGTTAGACCCAGTAGGGATTTCATGGGTTTAATCTCTTCTGTTGGCTCATAGAGTTACTCTGAAATAGAGGTGGAGGAGAGAGAAAAAGAGGTAAAAAGCTTTGAGAAAGGCAGAATTATTTAATATGTGTGTGTGCAAAGGATGAAGTTGATGGCTTTGGTGGAGCACTGGAGGGGCCACAGGAGAGGGCCAAGTGGGGAAGCCCAGGTGAGACTGGAGTAATGCAGCCCTTCCTTGTGGTTTCCTTCTGACAAGTCTATTTATTGGACGCTGTGGGGCATGATTTTGCATTTAACGTCCTTTAAGATTAGTGCTGACCTATCAGGTTGTGTGAGGAAACCAACTTGTGGAAGCTGATGGCTGTTGAACTTTGGCTTTGCTCATTGCCTGGCTTGTGTGTGTGCAGAGGTGCCCTGGTGGGTGTGGCTCCCTGTGCATGTGCCATCCTCAGCTGTCAGATCCCTCTAATCCTAGAGGATTATTTTCATGCTTTGGATCTGGTGACCTGTTCTGTGGCTGTGCCTGGGGACCTTCTTTTTACCCTCTTTCAAGCCAGTGTAGATTTGGTTTGAACTGGAGCTAGTGTTCAGAACTTCCATTGTGCTGCCCATGTACCTGCCTGTGCTGGCTCCCTGGGAAGGAGTGTGCTTGCCCGTGAGAGCTGGAATGAGTGATTGAAAAAGATGACGAGGGAGGTTTGAAGGACTCCTGCTTGCAGTAAATCTTTACTCTGCAGGAGAAAGCAAGAGGGAGAGGAGGAGGAGCGCTGTGTCAGACTGAAGCCTAAATGAGTCCAAGCTGGCACGTCAGAGCAATCTTTATTTCCTCCTTTACACTGATATTGGGTGACCTCCAGATGTGTGTTCTTCCCTTCCTGGTGGCCTACGAAACTGCCTGAGGGAGCAGTGGAGGGAGGAAGGGAGAGAGAGACCCAATAAGGACAGCTTTTCCTCATTCTTCCTCCCTGTGGTTGCTCTCAAGTAGACCAAGCCCTTCCTGCTCCTTCCCCAACCAGCATGGGCTTTCTCCCCCTTTCTGGAGCCCATGTTGGAGCAATACCTCTTTCTGTCCTCAGTCCAAATCCTGGTGGAGAGAAGGCTGTTCCTCACCCATTTTGCACCTTCATGGACTTTTTGCTTTACTGGGCTGGCTGGAAGCTGTTCCTGGCTGCTCAGGAAGGCTGCCTGTAGGTTTCCACAGCCTTCACTGAACTGTGGCCCCTTTTCACATGGAGAGTAGCAGCTATCCAGTCATTGGGATTGAGAAGAAAGGGAGGAAGTTGGGTGAAAAGAAGTCTTACAGGTCTTACAAAATTGACAGGGAAGGGAAGGACTGCAACAGCTATGGAGAACTATCCAGTCTTTGTCTTGACTTCTCCTCTCCACTCCTTCCCCCTGCTCTTCACTGCCTCATGCACATACCCTTTGCCCCACCTTCATCCATCTCCACCTCTGCTGCTTCCCCTCCCTCCTCTGCACTTTTCCCTTCTGCCCTCCTCCTGCTCCACCCCATGCATTGTCTGGCCCTGTCTTCCTTCTCCATTTCCCACCATGCTGTCCTGCCTGCTCCAGCCCCACTGCTCCCCAGCACACACAGCTGGCTCTGGTGTTCCTGCCGCTGCGTGCACACACACACACACACACACACACACACACACACACTCCCTGGTGTCAGCCTCTCCACACCTCTTTGCGACACAAACACACACACACACACACACACACACACACACACACACACACACACACACACACACACACACACACACACACACACACACACACACACACACACACACACACACACTCCCTGCTGTCAGCCTCTCTGCACCTCTTGCAGACACAAACACACAAGGACAGCCCTGTACAGACCTCGGCATATTGGCGTTGGTCTCACTTCCAGGAAAATTACTTTTTCTTCATATTAGGCCAAGGCAAGAGTGCAGAGACATTTATGAAACTTTGTTTAATGTACTGAAAAGCCATCGGCTAGAACATTTAGGAAATTGATTTTCCTGGCATTGATGAACTCTTTTTATTCTACCCCAGTATTAATTACTTTTTTTTTTTTAAACAAATTAATTTAAGAGTCGTAAAACCTAACAAGTGAGCCAAACGTCAGTAGATCATGTTCCCCTCTCCCCTTATTCCCCCTCCCCTCAACTAGTGCTGGGATGGGAGGAGAAGAAAAATCAGTGCCTGGCGTGACTCTGTCCCTTGGGTTCTCTGCAGGGGAAGCTTCATCGCTGCGAGATTACGCTGCCACCACCATGAATGAGTTCCTGGGCATGTTTGGCTACGACGACCAGAACATGCGGGACGAGCTGGCCCGCAAGATCAGCTTTGACAAGCTGAATGCTGCTACCTCAGAGGCCACCGCCACCGCGGCCTCTCTCCCCGGCGAGGACGCCATGAGCAAACGAGCCCGCTTCTCCAAGTATGAGGAGTACATCCGCAAGCTGAAAGCTGGAGAGCAGCTCTCTTGGCCCATGCACTTGGTCAAATCTGAGGAGCTGGGCTCCAAGCTGGGCAAAGAGACTTCCTCAGTGCTCGCACAGCCCATTCGCGTGCCAGGTCCAGATGCCTCCATGCTGACGGAGACCAAAGCCACCATCCTGCCACTGCCCTCTCCCAGCAGTTCCCAGATGCAGGGCCTGATGTCACGGGCCTCCAAATATGACTTCTTCATTCAGAAGCTGAAGACGGGTGAAAGCATCAGGCCACAAAATGGCAACACTTACAAGAAGGCCTCCAAGTATGACCTAGAAAATGTCAAGTACTTGCACCTTTTCAAGCCCGGAGAAGGAAGCCCAGATATGGGAGGAGCCATCGCCTTCAAGACAGGCAAGGTAGGCCGGCCTTCCAAGTATGATGTGAGGAACATCCAGAAGCTCACTCCATTAAAAGCTCCAACACCCAGCCTGGCCCCAGCTCCCCTCACCAGTACCCCCAGCAGCACTCCTGTGGCTGGGCCAGAGCAGGCTGTCTCATTGCCGTTCAACACTCCTGAGTACCTGAAATCAACTTTCTCCAAGACAGACTCCATCACAACTGGAACAGTCTCTACAGTAAAGTAAGTGTCGTCTCACTTTTCTTATCTTTATTTTAGTGGGGGAACATACCTAATGTTAGTGTGTGGATCAGTGGGCAATTCCAGTTTGATAAATACTGCTTGGTTTGGGTGATGTTTCTTTTTGCTCTCTGTTGGAATCTCTGCTCCTCTGGTGCTCATTACACCTTTAATTATCTTACTTGCACTGTGGATGTGGCCATCAGCAGTCCCAGCCATGAATCTAGAGCTCACAAGCTCCTGGGTTCATATGTTAAAAAGAAAGATGGGGGAACATGGTGCTGTCAGCACTCTTAAGGTCAAGGTTGTAACTACTTCACCTTCTCCTTCTTCAGGTTCTACCTGTGTCTATAGAAGAACCAGATTCTTGCTTCCATTTAAGTCAATGGCAAAGCTCTGCTGACTTTACCATTAGCAAGATGGGGCTTTTTGTTTGTCCCAGAACTCAGAAGACATTTTGGTGCCTAATTCCCATCAATTTTCCTAGGAGTTAGGCATATACATACTTCTGTGGGGCCAGGCCTGTGTCTTCTCAATTTGCTTGTTCCTTACACAAATAGAGGTGATTCAATTACCCCTCAGACTGGGCAAACTCATTAGCCCAATTACCACTAATAACCTCCTACACGTACATTGCTGGCAATCTCTGCAGTGATGCCATTGACTGAATGGAGATATCTGAAGGCCTTGCCAAACCTTGGATTAGTTTTTAATGTGGCTTCCAGAAGTGGTAGCTGTAGAAAAGCTATGCCCATATGTGAGGGTGCAAACAGGGAGGGAGGGGCTTCTCTGCTCTCTTGTCATGGTTTGGATTTACTTGTTTCTCACTGTGGACCTAGGGCTGTTGTGAGCTCTGAATCCCATGGGGTCACTCGTAGGAGGTCTAGAACCTCTGGCCTCCACTACCATGGCAAATACCCTGCTGCTTTGCCCTCTGGTAAGGAGAAGGGCTGTTTTGTGTTTATGTGGACCTGGGAGCCCTTGGGCTGAATCCTCACTCAGATGCTCTTTGGAGTCTCGGGCAAGTCTGCACCCCCCACGTCCCATGTTTCTCCACTTGGAAGGTATAGCTAATGATACTTGTCTTCCATCTGAAACAGTCATTTCCCAACTGCCTGCAGACAGATTTGGGAGCTCTGTGGTTAAGGTGTGTGGGAAAGGGCAGAGGATTCTTAACATTTGCTTCTGGCCCCTGCTCAGGATGAACCCTGTGTGTGCTCCAGATGGCAGGCAGGGACTCTGATTACTAAAAAACACTGAGGTGTAAATATTCTTCCAGGCACAGTGCCTTGTTGTGATGGGTGACTTGGCCAGGGACTCTGTGCCTGAAGCGTTTGCAGAATACTCAGCTGCCTGGAGTTCAGTGGCCACCCTGGAGCTGTTCCTGGGGGGCTTTGGCCCCTTCTTACCTGCTTTGGTGTTGCACTGGGATCCCAGTTTTATTTCCTTTCTCAGTTCTGCCACTTGCAGATGTGGATCTGCAGCATGGTGATCCCTTCTCCAGCCACAGGGCTTCTTCAACTGGGGCATCACGATGGGGCTGCAACAGTACTGGAGGTGACCAGGGCCTTCCACCTGGCAGTTGTCAGTGTTCTGATCTCACACTGGAGCACAGAAGGGGCTCTGGTCCCTTCTCTTTCAGGCTACTTACTAGATAGGGGTTTTCACTGTAAAAGAAACCAGCCCATTGATTGTGTTGGTCAGGGAAGTGCTAACTGTGGTGTCTGGGACCTGGCTTTCCACTCACAGTCCCCACTGGGACCAAATAACCTGGCAGGGAATCACCCCTTCCTCTCACATGTGTGCACATACACCATGGCCAGGGGTTTAAACTCTCTGTAACATCTAATGCTGTTAACCTGCCCTGAACTAATCCACCTACTTCAAGTGAACTCTGTGCGAAAGTGTCCTTGTTTAATCCAGGTACAGAGGGGGCAGGAGTAGGAGTGGAGGTTGGGTGGGGGCAAAACTGAGAAGGAAGACCACACACAGCCTGCCTGGGGTTGTGTTGTTGTGCCTCTGTCTCTTAGGCTGGAGTCAGGCCCTGTATCTCTTTTCCTCGTGCTGACTCATTGAAGATGAAATTTTTGGCTGCTTCCTTAGGATGATAAGTAACCCAGGCCTGTGTGACACTTGGGTGCAGTTGGTTGGTCTTATCCTTGATTAAAATATGGAAATACTTTTGCTGCTACATCTGTCTGTTGGAGGTAGGGTGTCTGTGTGAAAAAAGAGGCAATTAGAGCCTCATCTAGGGAGCTGTGGCCACACTGCTAGGAGAACCCTGTACCTACTGGCCCTAGGAAATGTGCAGTGGTCCACAGGGTGGGTGAAGCACAGAGACTCCTCCCACGGTTGAGCCTCCAGCAGATATGTCTCACTGGCCCTTCTGTGCACATAAGGACAACAGCTTTTCATGGCTGATCTTCTCAGTGTCTCCAACAAAGTGAACTGAGTCCTGCAAAAAAGGAACAGGCAGGAGGGGTGGGGTGGCCTGTGGTTCCTTAGGATGAGAAGGTTCAGGATTTGAAGGGTAGGGGGAGAGAGGTTAAACCCATGGGTGTCTTTGCTGGGTACTCTTCTGTGGGCCTTTTCTCCTGACATGTCAATGGTGTGAGAGAAACAAGGAGCTTTGACTGTGCCCTGTTCCTGCCTGCTAACCAGCTCTGTCCTGTGTTCCTCATTAGGAATGGATTACCCACTGACAAACCGGCTGTCAGCGAAGACGTAAATATTTACCAGAAGTATATTGCCAGGTAGGCAAAACTCTTTACTTTCTTGGGGAGAGGGCTGGAAGTGAGAGTGTGGAGTGGTGGTGGGAGAGAGGAGTCCTTGTCCATCTGGATCAAGTGTTTAAACCAGTCATTGGCACTTCCATTTCCCTTTGGCATGTGTGCTTGCGCTGTTCCCTGCTTGGGAGAGCAGTAGCTGCTAGAGGTGTACAAGCATGCCAAGAGCATGCTCAGCTCCCCAGAGCTGTTAGACTTTATGACAAATAGTGGAAAATGTTTCAACTGCAGAAGCCCAGGGTTTATATGGGAGCCCTGTCTCTTGACTGTGCTTCTTTCTGTCCACTGCTGTGCTGTCTTCAGCCTTTTTCCTCTCCCATGTGCAGTGCCTGCTGGAGGCAAGCAGACACTGTCCTACCCCTGAGAATCTAGGCTGGAGGAATTCACAAGTGACTCAAGTTTAGGCAGGTCTTGGCATCAATCTGGGATGTTTGTCCTAGAATATTTTTCTGCTCATTTATATGAAAACCCCTCACTGAATAAGGTGCAGGCTGAGGCATCTTATCACAGCTCTGGGCATGCTGAGGTCAGCAATGAGCAAAGCTGAGAGGGAGCTCAAGGGCTCTTTTGGGGAGACCAAGTAAGTAATGCCATGAGGGACAGAGGAGATCATTGCACAACACCTGCCTGCCTTAGAGCTCATGATTTAAAGGGTCCATCAGCCCAGGCCTGTTGAATCCTCTGTCTGAGCTGTGAGGGAGCTCACTGCAGAGCCCCTGGCACTCAGAAAGACACAGCTAAGGAAGCAAGCAAACACTTATGTCCAGAGATAGACCTGAAGGGTTTGTTCCCACCAGCACTCGGGCACTTATTAACACAACAGGAGGGAAATGTGCTCTGTGCTTTCCCTCCCTGCCAGAGTCTACAGAGAGTCTCCTTGCAGGAGGCAATCAGCTGCTAGAAAGGTGCAAGAGGAGATCTTGGCAGGAAGGGCTGGGAACAGTGCTCTCCCTGGCTGGAGAGGGGAAGTAGAAGTGGTTTCCCTTCTATCCCCATTGTTCAAATCCCTGATGCAGGAGAAGGGGGCAGAAGACTTCATGGGAAGAGAGGACAATTACAGCACCACATGCAGCTTTTCAAGCAGCAATGCCTCTAGTGCATGTGGCAGCTCACTGCCTCCTGGAAGCAGAGGAATGAAAGGAGGGGTTTAAGCCCATCTTTGCATGGGGCAGAAGGAGCAGCACCATTTTACTGGTGAGATCACAGAAATTGCTGAGGCTGCAGTGGGAGGGGAGATGCCTCCCTTTCTGTCCTCTGGTCCTTTCTCAAGCAGAGAACTCTATCAACACTTTACCCACTTCCACTCTTCGTGGTGATCTGCAAGCCCCTTCCCTGGGCCAGGCAGGTACCTGAGGGAGGCTTGTGATATAGCTCAGGGACACCACATCCTGCTTATAAAGCTCTGCAGGCCACCCCTTGGCAGCACAGCCACTTCCCTTCAATTTACACACAATTTTAAAAACAGTTTAAAGCCTTAAAATCAAGGGATGGGGGGAGAGAGACATGACACTCTATGTCTGTACTGCATAATTAGCTTAATGAGTTTGCCAAAGCCACTGCCAAAAGCTGCCCAGGGATAATCCATTCTCTCACACAACAAAACAAAACCTCTTACTTAGCTAGTTTGAGTTGGGTTGTTTCCCCCCACACATATATTTATAATTAAAAAAAAAAAAACCACAGAAAAAATTATTATTATTATTATTAGTGCCTCAGCAGATGGTGCTTCTGGCAGCACTTGCTTAAATATTTATTTCTGTGTGGGTTTCCTCCCCCCTTATAATTGGGGTGGGTTGAGTTTTTTTTTCTTCCTTCTTTCACATCATCGTTACAGGGTAATGAGTCTGTAAACACTCTCTAAGCATGCTGACTTCTTTATTTATTATTTTTATTATTATTTATTTATCATGGGTTTTCTTTCTAACTCTTGCCAGATCAAGACTAGTTCTTTCTGGTCAAAAAAAAAAAAAAAAAAAGTGAACCAATTAAAGTAAGGGAAGGGGAGTGGGTTGTTCTGGTGGAAATGAATCTGTGTGCACAATTTAGAAGTGTGGATTTGCATATCAGTATGAGTAAATGGTCTGTGAGTTTGCTTGTTTCAGCTGTGTTTTTTGTCTGGTCGTGTGCATGGAAATTGTGGGTACCCTCATGTAAATTAGGTGGGGTGTTGCTGTACCTTAGAGTACATGTAAATGTGCATGTGTGTGTGTGGTGTGTGAGCTTTCCTGTTCTGAAAAAGCCAAACAGATGCTGGGCTTTAAAAATTAATAGCTTTGAACTGTTTCAAGTGTCAGAAGAAACACAGGATAAATATAACCCTTTAGGAGCCTAACCTTACTGACTGAAAGAGCAGAATTTCCCCTTTGTGCTGTGTGTGCTGCTCCTCTCCTTCCCCAGGCACATGGGTTGGTAGAACACTTACCTCTCCCTTCCTGCACTGCAGACACCACACACACACACACACACACACCCAAACACACACACCCCCCACGCACACACCGCTTTCCGTGGCACATGGAAAGGAGGGCAGGAGTTTGAAGTGCTTTTTTAGCCATTGCTTTTAAAGCTGAGCCTGTGAGTTACTCAAGCTAGAATGCCTCAAGTAACTCATCATCCCATAGAATCAGATCTCCTTGGTGTCTGGCCCTTCTTTTACTGCATTTGGTTGGCATCTTGGTCATTTTGCACCATCACTTTTGAGAATACTTTGGAGTGCTTTGCTTCAAATACGTGTATTTGTCAGCAAGGTCTTAATCTTCCTCTTTTCTCTGCCTGGCCTATGCTCCACATTCTCCAGCTCTGCACAGCCCTTTGCTCTCTCTTCCCCATTCTAGAGTGGAACAGGGAGGAAGCTTTCCACAATTCAGTTTCTTTCCTTCAAAGCTGCTGGTGGTGCTGCTGACAAGAGAGCCCTGGACCAGCAGGACCAATTGGTTGGATCTGCTGTGAGCTGCATGTCCCTGGTCAATGCCCTGGTGGCTCAGGCTGCTGCCCATACCCTGTGCTGGCCTCACAGCTGCCCAGGCTTTGAGCAGGAGTCGCTGCTTCTGCTTTCAGTTCCACACCTTTGTTTGTGCAGCCAGCCCTGCTGTTTGCCTTGTGGTTTGTTTCTCCTCCACTGCTGAGGTTTGTTCCAGTTTCTCAATCACCTGTTCTGACGTGATCCTGATTTCCTGCAGTATTTCTTCTCCTTCCCCAGGGAAAGGCATGTCTGCTCCTGGCATCTGTCCCTGTCTCCCTTTGTGAATGCTGAGGCAAAGAAGTCATTTAATTTTTTAGCAATGTCTATCTTTTCTGTCAATTAAGTCCCTTTTCCATCTCCTGGAGGCCCTGCTGTCTCCACAGTTGACCTCCTCTTCCTTATTGTGCTTCTGAAATGCCTTATTTAGTACTGCTTTTCATCCTGACTTTTTCTGTCCTTCAGTTCAGCATTACTTCACCTTATGATGATCCATAATCTTCCCTTCTCTTACCCCGTTCCTTGATTGCCCCAGGACACCCTCACTGCTCTGGTTTCCCCTTTTTACCCATTACCCTTCCTTGTTTCTTTCCCGTGCCCTTTATCATATGCACTCCTGCTGTGTTGAGCACTAAGTGACGTGAGGAACCTTTGAGGAACCTTTGAGCAGATGGTACTTTATCTTTGAATGTTTCTCCTCTGAGTCCCCTTCTCTCCACTTCTCTTCCCTTTCAAGCTCTTCAGCTCTTCCAGGATCCTCTAGAATACACATCAGATAGTTCATTGCACTGATTAGCCCATTAGTGGACCATCCCCTTTTGCTAATTACTGATGTGTCTGTCAATACATTCTATGTACTGTCCATTTGTATGTAGATGTTTTATGGCCCTTTTGGGTTTTTTTCCACCCTGTGTGTCAGGAGTTTCCAAATTTGCTGTGTGGAATGCTCAGTGGTGGTGTCCATCCATCTTGCCTGTTTCCTGTTGATGTAACAATCTTACTGAAAGTTCCTATATAATCTCTGCCATGATCATCTTCTGTCTCTGTGGTTTACCATCTAATCCACCATGCTGATTTAAAAAAAGTCTTGAGACTTCACTCATACAAACAAATGAATGAGCTTTTCTGAGGTCCTGCTAGATGGATGTTTACCTCAAATTTAGCATTCATATTTGACCCATGTGTTTTTGTCACCTTCTGGCATGGGAGGTTTCTGGAACTCACTGCTGTGGTATCTAAACTCACACATGAGAATTGCAGAATTGTATGATATTTAATTCAGGGAATGCTCCTTCCCTACCCTTCCCCAAGCAAGCTACTTAGATAATGGAGATGAATTTCAAGACACAGACAGATTAGGGATGTGCAAGACCTGAATGATCCTGCTCAAGAAGCTCCTTTAAATAGTGACAAGTAAGAAAAGGAAGGTGGGAGAGTCACCATCCTTGAAGGAGATAAAGGAGATGGGGTTTAATGCTGTAAACATGAAAGCAGGACTGGGACTTAGTTTATTTGTACCTTGTTTATAGGCACTACCATCAGGACACTGTTTCATTCTCTCCCTTTCTCTCTTCTGTCCTCGTGTTTGCAGGTTCTCTGGCAGTCAGCACTGTGGACACATACACTGTGCATACCAGTACCGAGAACATTACCACTGCCTTGACCCAGAGTGCAACTACCAGGTAAAAGAATGGTAAACAGTTAACCAGCACAGCTACCTGCATGTGAAGGGGAGATGTGTGTCCTTCTGTGCTTTCCTCCCCATGCACACACATGCCTCTTCACTTTTCTGCTCTGAAAGAGGGCAAGATAGATTTTGAACTTGTTAGAATCCTATTTTGTTCCCATTTAACCCAATCTAACACCATTTAACCAAACCCAGGCCACTATAACAAAGCAGAATATAGATCAGCTCAAGTCAGTGGGAACTACTCCAGATTTCTACCAGTGAAACCAAGAGAATAAATTCTGCTGCGTTACAAATTGTGCCTGAAACTAGGGAATGCTGATCTGTTAGTCTGTCTCTTTAAAAAATTTCCCTCCTGCTGCCCGAGTGACATTGTAGCAGCAGTATCTGCAACAAAACACCCAATAAGACCAGCAGCAGCCCGGGATTTGTGGGGAAAGCGTGGGGGCAGGAGCATGTGTGATGCTGTAATTACTGGGAGAACTGCCAGGGCAGCCACGTCAAACCAGCCCAGTCACGTGCTGGGTTTGTTTACCCTCTTCCCAGGTCTGGGAGTTTGACTCTGCCATTTCTGTGGTCAGGCTGCATGTGTGTGAGCGGGAATCCCAGAGTTTGCCTCGCCTGTGCATCAGACACAACTCCAGCTCTACCCCAGCAGACCTTTGGGTCTCAAAGGAATGAGTCTGACCACAGCGTAGGAAGTTGATCTGGATCTGCTGAGCTTGATTGGGGGTTTCTATTGATCAGAGGAGAGTTTGTGACTGGGATGCATGTAGTGGTCCTGCTAGGCCAGCATTTGGGATTCGAGCTGAGTCTGGCCCAACTGCGACATGGATATCTCTGCAACAGAATGAGAGAAACATAAAGGATGGAAAGACAGAAAAAACTATTATTATGATTGGCCTCATGATTATTTCCTAAGGAGTCTGGAAGCTGCTTGCAAAGGAGCTGTCTGGTCTCACAGGGAGTAAGGATTTAGGCTGCTTTTTAAAATGCAAATTATTTTATGGCTGAGATATATTTTAGAATAAGTAACGCTATGTAATAAGTGGGCGCAAATTAACAATGATTGGCAATAGCAATCCTGTATGTACACCCTGGGAAATCATACCTCCAGCCTCCAAGGGATTCCAGTTGAAATCTATATCCATATATTCCTGTGCCAATACCAACGAGATTGATCAGGATTGATATTATAGGAGGAAAGAGTGGAAGCAATAATCATTTGTTTCCTATGAGGGAGACTAGGAAAGTTGTTAAACATTAGAATACAGGCCTTTTCAATTACTCCTCAAAATAAATGGATATTGATTTCTTTTAAAAAAAACAGATTTACTTTCCCACCTTCACTGTTAAATATTGATGTCTGTGGGAAATAGAAATGAAAAGCTTCATTTTAAAGGCACTTAGCCTGCTGACAGTGGGGTACCCCTTCATTACTTCAAGCAGGTAGAGGATGAAAAGAATATTCTGGTCATAGGGATTTAGCTCTGAGCTCTACTGCCATCATTTTCTGTGACTAGAAAAGAAGTTCTGTGTCCCTCTTTTCCTAATAAAGCCATCCTACCTTGTGTGGGAGGCAGAAGACTTACAATGGGAAATTACTACAAAAGAGGAGAGTGTTTTTCCCAGTTTTTAGCCTGACATGAATGTGGTAGCCAGTGTCTCACTGGCCACTATAGTGAGTGATTTGGAAGCTTGAATTGCTCTCTTGTAGGCTTCTTAGTTAACTGGTTTGCTTTCTAACTATAGCAGTTCTTGAGATAGTAGCGGCTAAAATTATGTTAGGAGAATTGCAGTCTTAAAGCTGCAGGGAGTGTACTCTGGACATCACCCCAGTGTCGCATTTACTCTGCAACTCTTCATGTGTATATACCTGCCCTTTAACAAGAAGTTACACACACAGAGTTTCTTTTTAATCTGGCTCTCTTGGGGCAACTACTGCTGAGCTTTAAACTCCTGGTACCGTAAATTTATTAACAACAAAAAACCCCAGCCACGTGCCCCCACGATGACACAAGCAGCCCCATCCCGTGTGTCTCAGTGTCTGTCTGTGTCTCTCTCTCCAGAGGTTCACTAGCAAGCAGGACGTGATCCGGCACTACAACATGCACAAGAAGCGGGATAACTCCCTCCAGCACGGCTTCATGCGCTTCAGCCCCCTGGACGACTGCAGCGTCTACTACCACGGCTGCCACCTCAACGGGAAGAGCACACACTACCACTGCATGCAGGTACGGGGGCACACGGGGCAGATGAAGAGCTGTGGATTGAGCTGTGTCCTTTAGGGTTGCACTGAAAGGATCCTTGAGTTCAGGCAGCCCAACACGTCGTTGATTGAGAGCAAGGGGCTGCCCTGAGGCCTGCGGGTGGCACGGTGACCGTTCGTAGCCCTCGCTCTCTCCTGAGTCAGGCAGCTCTGTGAGGAGGCTGTTCTCTGTCCACACTGCACTTGCCCTGCCGAGTGTTGGGAAGGACAAAGGGAAGCACCAGGCTCTGTTTTTAGAAGCCTTCTGCACACAGTGAGGCAAAGCAGGTCTCAAGGTTTTCTTACAGTCTTGCACTTGATAAAACAATCTTGTTCCCTGACGCTCAGGGACTTCTCTGCCACTGCAATGCCTCTACCAAATCTGATCTATCACTCATGAAATCAGACTTTTCTGTGGTACATCTGCCCTTTAACACTCGGTTAAATTCCTCTATAATCTATTTTTAAAGTAATTAAACTTTAATGTCACATATCTAGAGTTAATACCCCTGGTCCCCAATCTCCTTCACCAGTGGTACTGGAGTTTACTTCTCTGTGGCGTAGGCCAGGAGCTTTGATTCCAGAGCCAGCCAGGCTTCAACAGCAGTGTACCCAGAGCTGGAGTTGCTGCTCAGATGTAACTGCGATGCCTTTACTGTTTTTAGACATGGGCACACGGATTCTTATGGTCTCACCCTGATCATTTTTCAAACTAAGAGGTTTGAGATATACTTGTTTCATTACAATTGCGGCCTAAACCGGTGCTGTGAGGACATGTTGCAGTTACAAACAGAATCATCAGGCAACCCTTGGCGAGAGCTTTTCTATTCTGAAAACTCAAGTCTCCCTTCCTGCTCTATCCCAAGGGTTTAAGACCCCAGCTAAAGTCACAAGGCCTTAATCACACGCTTAAATGCTTTGCTGGGATAGACTTCAGCATATGTTTAACTTGGAGTCAGGTAAGCTTTCTGAAGTCAATGAGGCTTAAGCACATACTTAAATGTTAGGCATGCACTCAAGTACTGTCCTGAATAGGGGTTGGTTTAAGCATGTGCTTACAACATTTGATAAATGGGGAACTTCATGTGACTTTCTCTTGAGGACACTTCTGTTATGCTTCCATAACATTGATTGTTCAGTTTCTTCAATTGACCAGGATGGGATTTGTTTAATTTTATTTTTTTAGAGTGCAAGGAATGTTTCACGGCTGTAAGTCACTCCCAGTTTAGAGACCCCCATTTACACAACTATATATGGGTAATTCCATCCTGTGCCCACTGGCTTCCAGTAAAATAATGCCCATGTAAGCAGTGTCTTACAGGAAAGGTGTCTGAATATAAACTCCCAATTAAAGAAAATACTGTTTAAATGGTAGAATTTGTGCCATCCATCTCATGGTGTTTTTTTTTCTTTATGTCCATAATTGGTGTGGATAAAATTCAGTTAGTTGTTTATATAAACTGACATTTTTTTAGGCTTTAGCACCAAGAGCTGCATTGCAAATTATTCCTAAGGAGGTTTCTGTTTAATTCTTTTTTTTAATGCCATGCAGGGTCTGTCTTTTTTCAAGGTGTCAGTGCAGGGAGAGAGAGGCTCTTTTATATTGGAAATAGCTGGAGATCCTTTTCATTTTTTTTTCTGGGTATTTGTCATGGGTTTTGTTATTGCCTGTTTGAATCAACCTGGGCTGAACTAAGAGGTGGTGTTTTCGTTCTCTTCACTTCTGAGATGGTGCAGGCATTGGCACATGTTGTGCTGGAGAAAAAAGGGGAAAAAAAAAAACCTCCCTCGGCAGGGCTGAGGACGTTTTCAGATTCCAGTAGTTTTTTACTCAATATGGCAAAGTTGCCCACTTTACCCAGAGGAAGGCAGGTTTGCAGCTTTCTGTCCTCATCACACTATTGCCATTTGCTGCACAAGTTTAAAGTTCTGGAAGTGGTAGCCCTGAAGTGACACAGAAAAAAAGTCACCAGTTTGCTAAGATCAGCTGAACGTGGAGTTCCTAGCTCTGCTAGGATAAAACCCGTATGTTACAAGCTCCAAAGAGTGGCCTCATGTTGCACCACTCTGCCTCACCTCCCAGCAGGACTAAAGAGGTAGATAACTCGTTCCCACTCCATTTTGTATTCCCCAAATAGATGAAAGTCCTGCTTTATTCCATGTCACACCAAGATAACAAAAAGTAATGGCATCTGTCAGTGCTCTTTTCTCCTTAAGAGCAGGAACCCTGCTTACTGCCTCCCTAAGCAGACATGATTAGAGTAGCTGCTCTTTCATCCCTTTGTGTCCTGCCTGTCTTTTCTTACTGTTTCATGCCCAGAGAGTTTGGGGTTTTTTTCACAACTGCTACAGAATCAGTCTTTAGATTGGGAGTTAAAGTCATGGCTTAGTACTCCTGGAGAGGTGCACAAATGGATCGATGAAATGTCTGTGTGCTACTCATGTGTTTGTCACTGCTGGTAGGAATGGTTGGCTGTTAAATTGCTATGCTGATGACTTTCTATTTTTCCTTGGTAGGTGGGTTGTAACAAGGTCTATACAAGCACCTCGGACGTGATGACCCATGAGAACTTCCACAAGAAGAACACACAGCTCATCAATGACGGGTTTCAGCGGTTCCGTGCCACGGAGGACTGCGGCACCGTGGAATGTCAGTTCTATGGGCAGAAAACCACTCACTTTCACTGCAGGTAACACAGCAGGGAAGGGCAGGAATG